GAGGGGGCTGGGGGCCTGGACTCCTGGGTCTGAGGGAGGAGGGGCTGGGGGCCTGGACTCCTGGGTCTGAGGGAGGAGGAGGGGCTGGGGGCCTGGGCTCCCGGGTCTGAGGAAGGGCTGGGGGTCTGGACTCCTGGGTCTGAGGGAGGAGGGGCTGTGGGGCTGGACTCCTGGGTCTGAGGGAGGAGGGGCTGGGGCTCTGGACCCTTGGGTCTGAGGGAGGAGGGGCTGGAGCCCTAGATTCCAGGGTTTGCAGGGGCAGAGGACAGGACCCCTGGTCCTGGCAGGGGGATGGGTTGGGGTCCTGGAGTCCTGGCTGGGTAGGTAACGGAGATGTGGATACCAGGAGGAGGCCACCCTCCTGACTGGCCCCCGCTTTGTCCACAGGCCCAGCCCCAGTCCAAAGGTTCAGGTGAGTAGGCTCAGTGTCCATCAGGCTCTTCCCTGCTTCTCAGCATCTGCTGCAGTAGGCGTGGTCAGACCTTCCCCTTCTCCCCTGGCCAAGCCCCCTGCGGGTCTCCCTGTGTCCTCCCTGTCAGAGACCCTGACTCAAAGCCTCCCCTCCTCTGCAGTCATGATTGTCGAGCCCACCTTTCCTTACAAGTTAATGGCATCTCAGAGACAGAAGAAGACCAAGGTGAGCAGGCCGGGCAGGACTGGCTGCTGATGGGTGGGGGCTGGGGGTGCTGTTCCTCCTCACTGCGCTCCGTCCCTCCTCCCACTGTCAGACCCTCAAGCGCAGATTCAAGTCTCAGGCCGTGGGCGACTCTGTGCCTCTCATCTGGTCGCGTCTGGAGCATGCTGAAGCTAAAAAGAAATCTGCGGAAAAGTAGGCTTAGGGTTTTGCTCCTGGTGGGAGGCAGACGAAGTCTGAGGACCCTGGTGCAGATGACATCTAGTCACACCACTTCGCGTCCACAGGTCCCAACCAAAACTCTATGCTGACACGTCTCAGACGAAAATCCAGGTTTCTGGTGAGCACACCTCCCCCTCTATGTATGGATCCGCAAAGTTCTCGCCCTTCCCCTGAAAGCTCAGACTACTTTCTTCCCACCCAGAGAAGCCCAGCATCACCATCCGTACCATCTTCAGCATCATTTCCAACACCATCAACAACTCACAGTCCTCTTCCAAGGCACCTATTTACTGGGGGCCCAACTCTTGGTCTGAGGGAGGAGGACCTGGGGGCCTGGACTCCTAGGTCTGAGGGAAGAGGGGCTGGGGGCTGGACTCCTGGGTCTGAGGGAGGAGGGGCTGGGGGCCTGGACTCCTGG